AATCATGATTTGGACAGACCGCACTGAGCTCTTTCTTGCTGATAATCATTTGGGCAGGGGCCCAAAGTAAAAGAATACGCATTATTCTTGGAAGTATTTTTCTCCTGGCCCTTTCTTCTCTCTTCAGTGTATTTTGTTCATAGTGGCTGGACATTAATGCTAAGAGACTCCTGCTTCTCAGAGTTTCATTCTTCTAAACGGAACTGAGAACCAAAGGATTGCAAGGAATACTGACTAAATGCTTCCATTTTAGTAGCCGACCTATACATTTAATGATGGTAAACCTACACACATTGGGGTCAGCTGTAGTGGACATATGTGATTGCTTGGGCATCCCAGATGGGAAATTTTCAGGGAGCCTAATCCTGTTCTCTCTTCTCACCTTTCTGCCATCTGGATGATTCTCAGGCCAAGGCTGTCAGTATACAGATCCCTTTTTCTGGCAAACCACCTTCCATTCCCTCTGCTAGTTGGACATGGCTATTTCTTCTTCTTCTTCTTCTTTTTAATCATTTTATTAGGGGCTCATACAACTCTTATCACAAGCCATACATGCATCAATTGTGTAAAGCACATTTGTACATTCATTGCCCTCATCACTCTCAAAGCATTTGCTTTCCACTTAAGCCCCTGGCATCAGCTCCTAATTTCCCCCCTCCCTCCCCGCTCCCCTCCCTCATGAGCCCTTGATAACTTATAAATTATTATTTTGTCATATCTTGCCCTGTCTGATGTCTCCCTTCACCCACTTTTCTGTTGTCATCCCCCAGGGAGGAGGTCACATATACATCCTTGTATTTGGTTCCCCCTTTTGAACCCACCCTCCCTCTACCCTCCCAGTATCGACACTCACACCACTGGTCCTGAAAGGATCATCCACCCTGGATTCCCTTTGTTTCTGGTTCCTATCTGTACCAGTGTACATCCTCTGGTCTAGCCCGACTTGCAAGGTAGAATTGGGATCATGATAGTGGGGGTGGGGAACATTTAGGAACTAGAGGAAAATTGTATGTTTCATCGTTGCTACATCGCACCCTGACTGGCTCGTCTCCTCCCCGAGACCCTCCTGTAAGGGGAGGGACATGACCTATTCTTGCCCCAAGAATTATCATCTCTGACTTCAATTATTTAGCTCTGCCTTCCACCAACTTATAACTTATTCCTTTCACCACCTGTTCAGTGGTACTCATTTTATAAGACCTAATTCTAATCTTCTCATCAACCCTAATTTCAAATCCCCTTATCCTTGGGATCCAGCTTGGCTATCCCAATATATATCACCATTCAAAAAGTATTGCCTTATATTGACATCTAATATCAAGTCAAGGTAACTTAACCATTGATTAGCACAGAGAGAGTGGGACATGGTAAACCCTGCTAGTAGTTTTTAAGCAATTTCTTGTTTCTTTTAGTTTATAAATTCCATGAAGTAGGGTCTCTGGATTATGTTTTTCTTTGCAGATTCAAAATGTGTAGGTAGACATGTCATAACACAGCATTGTCTCTACAACCAGATTGGTTTAAAAACTGAAGAGAGAATTAAAGATGGGTGCTGAGTGACCAGCTAAGTTCATTTCTGAGATCTTAGAGGCTTGGTCGGTCAGAATTTCAGTCTCCCAAGTCAAGGCTGACTCTCTTTCAAATCCCTACTCCCTCAGATGACTCTAATCCCTGCTCTGTGATGATGGCACAAGACTGGGCACTCTTTCTCACTATTCTACACAAGGTTGTTATGAGTTGGAACTGATTTAATGGCACGACAACAACAATAATTTGTGTCCGTCTGTCCCCTTTTTGCAACCAGTTCGACTGGTTCTTACTTTTCTTATTAAGAAGAGAGATTTGCATCTCCTTCCCTCCAAAGGGAAGTTCTACAACCACTTTTACCAAGGGAATATGACTAATTTGACACGATACCAATTTTCTGACCCCTTCCTTAAGATCCAGCAGACTCTGGCTCCTGTCCCTGGCAACACTTGGTGAGATCCAAGCTTCCGTGAATAATGGGGCAGCTACTCGGCTGAAAGACGCCCTGGCAAGGTCGTGAAACTACACGAAAAGAAGAAGCACTCAGTTGAGCCCAGTCTTTCCACGAAAGGACGAAGAGTTCGGCTCCAGAACAGAGCAGGCCCGAGTTGATTCTCTTTGAGTGACCGGAGTCAGCTCCTTGGAAGTCAGAAGAATTGACTAGCCATACTCTGATCAAATTTTTGATTCACAAAATTATGAAATCCGGTAATATGATTGCTGTTTAAGTCACTATATTATGCAACAGTTTGGTTCATAGCACTTGTTAACCCGGATATATGGTGACTTGCTCAAGTTTGTATATGTATTACAAGGAAGAACCAGGTTTTCAACTACAATATGTGGTGTCCAAGTACCTGCACTGAATCACTATGTGTAGCCTTGCCACTTTTAAAGGAAAATAAATGATCAAAAACACCCAGGCTATACTGGTGAAGAGAAAACTTCCCTCAAGCTTTCCTACTTTCAGTTGCTAGATGATGATAAGTTATTACTTTGTTTGCATTAATTAATATTTATTGAGGGCCTACTAAGTACTACATATTTACTTGAGAATTATCACCCACTCACATATTTCTCAATGGCTGCCTTTTTTTTTCCACCCAAGGAAGCATCCTAGAGACAGCCTTCTTAATAGTGGGTGAAGAGTTGATGCTTGAACAGCAGAGCTGAACAATTTAACGTAATTCCTGGCACGGTATAGAGTTCCACAGTCATAGCAGTAACCAAAACCAGAGTATCTGAGACATCAAAGTGCCAATTACTTTCAGGAGACTCAAGCACTGGAAGGCCAAATCAAGTCAAGAACCATTTGTTCACACTGTAAAGAGCCCGCTAAAAGCACTTAGTACGTTTCCTTTGATCTGAAATCAGCACCATCCAAGACCCACTGCAAATGAACAGTTCAAATGATGCTTTCTCAGTTGATGCTTTAAGAAAGAAATTGTGGATTTTTGAAGAGCCAGGTTTTCACACTTGTGAATTCATATTCTTTTGTTTCTCCTGGAAGAATTCTCCCCCTCCCTCCCTGTTTCATGAACCCTTGACAATTAACAAATTATTATTTTGTCATGTCTTGCACTGTCCGGTGTCTCCCCCATCCCCTTGTCTGTTGTCCATACCCCTGGGAGGGGGTGATAGGTAGGTCATTGTGATCAGTTTCCCCTTTCTCCCCCCACCTTCCCCTTACCCTCCTGGTACGTTACTCTCAATATTGATCCTGAGGAGTTTATCAGTCCTATATTCCCTGTGTATCCAGCTCTTATCTGTACCCATGTACATGATCTGGTCTAGCCAGATTTGTGAGGCAGAATTGTTTATGCATTTTTTGAAGGAGAAAAGACCCACACAGATCCTTATCAGCTTCCTCTCTGAATCCCTAACATTAAAATCTTCTGAGGGCAGTGAGGTCATGCCTTTTAGGATGAGAGGACCATCGCCTGCTACCATGAAGAAGAAGTCCTTTGTTCCTCTGCTTCCCACAGAGTTAGCACAATGCGTTTTGACAGAAACAAAACAACTCTGCCAAGATCGGTGCAGACAGAACTATCCTTTCACCCACAATAAACCGATCTGCTCTCGAGCTATAGAGAGTCATAATAGAAATATATATTGCCTTTTATCTTCATTTCAGGGAGTAGAGTGAAGTGTCAGGAGTTATTGCTTTAATATCAGTAGAGATGATGCCCCCCCTTTTTTTAAGCATGTGTGTAGATATGCATGTAATAGCACATGGGACTTTAAGATGACTATGCTAACCAGGTTCTTGGTTATCTTTTAAACTATGTACCCTTGTCTTGATCACATCTTTAGTAAATATAGCTGGAAATGGTTCCTGTGGGGTCAGACAAATAGCAGTGTCTGGATATTTCTGCTTTAAAAAAATAAGGAGGAAAGAGAAGAGGAATCCATCACTTCTACCTCTATTTACACTTATAAACTTAATTCAAAAGATTTGGAACACATAGGAGATTTAAATGATAATTGGCAAAGTTTACAGTGTCTATGAGTTGATGGAAAGATATGGCAAAGCCTCAATTGAGCCTCTAGACAATGTCTTAAAACTAAGAAGCAGTAGGGACATGTACTGATCCACTGAATTTTCCACAAACACTAACCAGGCTAGGGACAATTTTCCCCACAAACAATTGGAATGTTTTATTTTATGCCAGAGCATTTAAGGCTAATAACTCGATTAACCTCCTACCCCCGACTACCTAGATTTATGAAATGCCAAGGGAGGTGGCAAAGTATTAAGCCTTAGCTGGGGTATAATTACTTTCAAGTGGAAAAACAAAAACCTTACCACAAAACTAAGAAGTTCCTGCTGAGCTAAACTCAAACCTTTAAATGTTCTAATGTAATTAGTATCTTGCTCAAATATAAAAGAAACAAAATGGACCAAAAATAAAAAGACTGACAAGTACTTAATCAAAACTCAATATCAAACACAAAGAACATTTTACAAGGATTAGTTGCACCTCTGGCTCCAATTGCCCTTGATTTGATAGTACCCATTGCCCCCAATAATGAACAATTCATATTCCAGCAAAGCCATCTGGAGGAGCTGAATAGACAAGGATGAGGACATCATCTTTCATATGATAACACATTAGCCTTGCCCCTTTTTCCCTCTCTGCTATTTGAAAAGGAAAGGTAATAAAATAAGGGAAGGGAGTATTTTATACAGAAGGTATTGCCCATTGCTCATTTTGAATAAGAGAATGACCATTTCAGTGATAAATAGGTTAGAAATAATAAACCAAGAGTCCTACAAGACTTCAATAACTCCTTCAGCATTGACTTTGTCTTTTCCTACTCTTGGGTCTTATTGCAATGAACCTCTGTAGGCATCCTTCCTATAGACAACTACAAATATCCATTCAGACTTTTCAGTTAGGTAGCAACATTGACCATGATAGCAATAGACCATGACGCAGAAACAAGGAAATGGAAACAATAGAAAGGCTTACCTGAATGCTGGCTGTAGAGCGGTTCTTGCGGGTGGTAGTAGTCGCCATTGTTGTGGTGGTTTCCATTAAAGTGGTAGACATTTCTGGTGGCATGGAAGTGGTCTGTGTTGTTCCCAAGATAGATGGGACTTCTCCCACAAGTCGGACACTTCCATTGATTCTAATATTGGGGTTATTCTCAGCTGCCATGTTCAGTACTTTCAAACCATCATAATAGAGCCCAGAAAGTTGGCCTTGGAAGAGACGTCCTTTATCCTTTCCACCAATGGCTATTTGCGCCTGGGTGTTGAAGATGGTTAACTGCCGGCCTAGTGGGTTGGGTGGAGGAAACAGCATTATTCCCAAACATTTTCTTTTCCTTACCTGGTCTGAATGGACCAGGTATTAAAACAGGTTTCCTTGAGAAACTGACTAGGAGAAAAATTGATTATAAAAACTCAATAGGCATTGGCAAGTAACTTTTTACTATGGTTACCTCTTCCACTGCCTAGCTGAAAATTCTAGGTAACCTAACAATGGAGTCTTCATTATGAGAAAGGAGAAATCTTGATTTTATGAGGATCAGCATTACTGTTTTCTTGGGTATGTATTTCAGATGATATAAAGAAACTTCCAAATTATTTCACAATTATACTAAGCCATTGATACCTATTGCGCTTATTTTTTAAAGCTACAAGGGCACATAAAATGATGTAGAGGAGATGTATACAGTAAAGCAAACTTCAGTGAGATTAACCAAAACACTGAATTAAAAAATAGTTTTGCTACTTAAATAAAATTAATTGAAATTAAATTCTAAGAGACCTGGATTCATTGCATATTTGTAAAAAATTGAGTGGCCAAATACCTTATTTTCCAGTACTCTTCATTGTATATAATTTTCTACATACACTTCATGATCTATAAACACATTTCCTATCTCTATTAACTTTTTGAAAGATTGTAGTTACCCAATTAAATCATTTTCTAAGAGATGGGAAATAAATAGGCATTGATAATGCTATCATGTGAAATAACAGATCAGAATTATTGATCTTCTAAAGAGTGCTAGTATTCGTGATGAAAGCAACACATAAAACGTTTTAAATGATACAGATGTTAATGACTTGAATATCAATATTCCACCTCCCTTGGATTTCTCACGTGGAAACAACTTGATTCTGTGGAAAGAAAACTATCAGAGTAAAACAGAGGCAGAATAGATTTTCTAAAAGTGTAACTCAACTTATTTTATCCCCAACGATATCTACTTAGAAAGCACACTGCAATGCCAGGTGTATTACAGAAAAACTCAAACAACTTTTTAAGATTCATTGGAGTCTCTCAGGATTTATGCTAAGGAGCTATGCTCTTATTTCCTAAGATTCCTTGCTTCTGTTTCTTCCAAATGGGGAAAGGGAACTCCAACAATTTATTAAAGGCATTGAGTATATATCCTTTTTAAAATTGTGTTCCTTTTTAGTAAGTGATCAAAATGTACCAGCCATTCCTAATCTAATCACCTAAATTATTTGAGGTCCCCTACCCAAAAAAAAGACCCTGGAAATAATGCTTTCCCCCCCCTTATTTAATAAAGGAGTATATATTTTAAAGAGAGATTTTGGCTCCACGATTCCAACATTATAGAGGTGTTTTGTGCTGTTATGGCTCTTAATTTCATCACCTGGTCTTAAAAAACTACACTTCCTACTCCTTAAGTACCCAGTGTACAATGTGGAACGTGAGCTATGTGGAATGGAAGAAATGAAGAAGGAAGAGACTAAATACTGTGTCAGCTCAGAGTCAACGGTGCTCATTTGGCCAACTCTTCAGCATCTATTTGTAGGGAGTGATTTATGAATACCCTCAACCCCTTCAAGGCCTCAGACCTTGCAATATGGACAGTTTTGTTATAATGCACATAACCTGCTTTTTATAAGCATCTTTTGACCATGAAAATGAGATTTTTTTCCTGGGCTTCAGGATAACACAATTACTCTGATCTCAAGGGGAGAATCAAAACAGATCTTGTCGATTTCTATTATTTTGCCATCATTTCCTTCATACACTCTAACATATTATTTATTCATCTCTTTCTTTGTATATAGTCCATCACTGGTGGTGATGAATTACAGGTTTGTCATAGGTAGAGGATTTTTTATTTCCAATATTCCTGAAATTGCTTCACAGTGATAACATCTATAATGACGCTCATCTCTCCTAGTGGAATTATTCTTCCAATGCTTAAAAATAAAAAGAGACACCGAGAAGATTAAAATAGAAAATTAGATTACACTGGTTAGAATTGATCACTCTTCTTCATTCAAGTTACCATAGTTTACTTCTTAAAAACTACTCTTTGCTTGTTCAAGCCTGACTCATCAGCAGGAAAAGTAGGAATGTGTCGTGGGCTATAACACTAAGCTGTGCTCCTGGCTGCTGTTGCTGTCTCAGGGATATCTGACTAGTCACGTCTTGGGGGGAAAAAAACCAAAAAACACCTAAGCACAAGGAGAAAAGAAAGGGCTTGTCTGTGTTTGAATTTTCCATAGCATTGTGGCAAACAAATTGTTTCATGGCCTGTTTCTGCTTAGATTTGTGCTTCTTCTCTTTCAAGATCCTTGGGTGCAGTGGTTGGGGCAAACTAGCAGTCATGAAAAGAAGCACTTTCATTTCTCTACCACGACTTCACTAATCATTTATCTCAGAGAGGGAGTGAGTGCATCATAATTGGCCTTCACTTACTAACCTCATCCTATGAAGGATTAGAGGGACTGAAGGATGAAAATTTATTTTTTATCATTTGTCCATGAATTAACTCTAACAGGGAGATTTCATCCTTATCTCTTCCTATGATCAATTGTGTCTTTATCATATGAGTTTAATACCTATACTTACACAAATGCATATATATGTATTATAGGGGTGTATTTTTCCCTCAGATTGAGAATTGGTGTACCATTCGTAACATAAAATTGGGTTAATAATAATAATAATGTTTAAGTTTTATAATAGTTACCTTTAATAATTATCTTTATATTACTCACTTAATTTGAGTGTTATAATACCACTACAGAATGGTTAACAGGTTACATTTTGTTTAGGTTTTTTTCTGAATCCTCATCCTCATGGAAGTCATTAATTGTTACCTCGTTTGGACATCAAGTTCACATACTGGTTCAATTAAATCTTTGCACATCTCCAGTCAGTGTTGCTCAAAGACTAATTAACTAAACCTCAGAACACCCTTGAGGAATAAACAGCATTATTTCTCCTCTCCTTAGATGGGAAAGCGGAGATATAAAGAGGTTAAATGGATTGTCTAAGGTCAGAAAATCAGTCAATAGTAGACAGAGATAAACCTGTCTTGGGAATGCTATGACTCAAAGGCAGATAGAACTCCAAAAAGGCATTCCAAGTCCTTCCTAAAGCACCTCACTTGTGATCCTTCCATGTTGAGCTTTGCACTTACTGTCTGTATAGACCTTGTGGTCCATATTTTCTATTCCTTTTAAAAATTAGCTAGGCAGGGGAAGAGGTAAAGCAATAAAGGAATATTACTCACCCAAATGGTTTTTAAAAAGTAATGTCAGTGAAAGCAATAGTGTGCAAATCATACTTTTCAATATCATATGCATATAGAAATATAGATATATTTGGTTAACAAACTAAAATGCATTCTTCCAGCCTAATTACTCAACCACCTCTGCCCAAACCGCAATTGAAAACATTCTAATGAGTGTAAACTGATTAGAAGGAAAACCAAAAGCCTACTAATAACTTTATAATGGGTTATACAAATGAAAGTGCCCGGCATGGCATGCTATTCAACTTAAGACTTCAAAAGGCAATGGAGTAAAAGAAAATATTATTAACAGAACATTGAAAGAAACCAAAAAAAAAAAAAAAAGTTCTCTCAGGCACATGAGACTCAGACATGCATCTAGTTTTCTTTTCTTTTTTAAAAAGTGAGGCAGTCATTGTCTTTAATGTTAAAGGGACTTTATGAGCTAGTGATTACTGAACAAAATTATTTGCTTTTTAGAGTTAGTCTTAATTTTTTTTTAATTAGACCACATGCACTAAAAACAGGGCAAACAGTTAAGACTCAGTGAGGATTTTCAGTGTTTAAAGGTTCAAATGCTTTCACCCAACTTTAGAACAATAGTAAGATTTAGGCTTTTAATTTTTAAAAAAAACACATACTAAGAAATTTATCAAATTATATATATATATTGGTATATGTGTAATGCCATCAAATCTCTACAAATGTTAAGAACAACATTTCAAGGCAAGAGTACCTTATACTGACTGGCTCAGGAAAGAATTGAATAAATTTCATAAAACAAAATTTCCTTCCTTGAAAGACCACAGCTTGCTTCCTAGAAAAGAGAAGTCACACAGAAAATTCTAACATCCGTGCTAACCGATGCCCTCTTTTATTAACAGAGTGGTTGTTTTCTTCAGCAAATCTGAAACTGGTTTTGGCTTTCCCTTGCCAACTCATTGTTTTAACCTCTTACACTTTTGTTGTATTAAAAAAAATAATAATGTGGGTACCACACACCCAAAGTGTAAATTCAATTCTTTCTTTTCTTTTTTTTTTTAAGTTTCAGTCAGCAATCAGGAGTAGGACACAATTCACTTTTACGAAAACACTTTTGCCTCTGTAGTTTTGAATTTAAAGGCAAAATTTGTCTTTGTCGGTTTTTTTGTTTAAAAACAAAGGTTTAAAAAGTACTGTTCCCCTTCTAGCATTTGTGTTAAGCAGTTTTAAAGTTATAAAAATCAACCTATGATTTTCTTGTTTTTGCTGAACCATGATACGGAGAGTCAAGCCAAATCAGCCGGAAGATGTCAGTTTAAAAAGTACTTTTGAAATTTCTTTAGGAAGCTTTGGTATAAGAGGTGATTTAAAACAAATTAACAAAGAATATCATGCAGTGGTTAGAGTTCCATATACGATTTTTAAAAGAGGTTATTGGAAATTTTTGTTGGTGGTTGTCCCACTGATGGCAAGCGAGATGTTAGTCCCTTTAACTGTATTTTAATGGCAATGTATTATAGCATGATTTATCAACATATGGCAGGTGGAAGCGGACACAAATTATAATGAAAATTAAAACAGTCATTTATGCAGCAGGCGATTATCATTTAAGAAACATTTATTTGCAGGCTTTAAAAATGAGGGTTTAGGATCAAATGATTTTTAAAATGAAAGTTTTCATGATGGTTTACCTTTTTCCTGCAGCCACTCTTCTACGGGCCGGTTATATTTGAAGGGGATTTTCTGTTTTACCATTTGGAAGCGCTCATTATCAGTGTTGCCTTTAAAGTTTAAAAAACAGCTTAAAGAACAATCTGAAAAGTCAATATGTCATTAAAAAACATCCTAGGCTTTTGGTTCGTTTTATGAAGTGTTTAGAGAGAGATATCAATTTTTCTTAGTAGAGGTGGAGTTGAAGTCACTCTGCCCTTAGTTGATACATGGGGCGGGGGAAGGGGGGTCAGGTTAGTCTTAGCTATGCAGTGCTCCACTGTGTTTGAAAATGGGGCCTCAGAGGGTGCTCTGCAAAGGTGAGGCGCCCTTCATTCATCTTCATCTCTGCCTGGCCACACCTTAGTTGGGCCAATTTAGGCATAAGGATCAGATTGACCCATCAGTAATTTCCCCGAAATAATATGTCCTTCAGTCAGACGACTCTACTATACACATATCTCTTGCATTTGAAACTACTGTATCTTTGGGCAGAAAGAAGCTAAGGAAGGCAGTTTAAGCTTCGGTGCCAAAGGGAAACTTCTTATTTATATAGGACACCCCAAATCCCAAGATCTATGTTAAACACAAAAGGGTTTCAAAAAGTTTGCGGAGAAATTTCATGACCTATTAATTCCATTCTTCCAACATTTCTCAAAACTTCCTCATATGTCGACTTTCACATTTCACATTCCTAAACTTTCACTTTCACATTTCTTTGGCCACACATTTGTTCCCCATTTCAAAGAAGAGAACCCAAAACAAATAACTGGGAATGAAATACGTACTAACTATAACGACAATGTAGTTGCTCAACTTTTGAGAACCTGAATTATCAGGAGACACTGTCAGTAGACACTGACTTGCTGCGCTTTCTCTATCTTTCTTTCCATTCTATAAGAGATCTTTCCAAAACAAGCACTCTTACAGCCTGTTAGGTACTCATTTTCCAAGCATGAAATACCTAATTAGGTTCAAGGCTCAAAGATAATGCTTTTAACAGCATGTACCCCACCTTTCTCCTTTCATGAGTTTGCTGATACTTCACCTGGATGGTTTCTCTAATTAAAATAGACTTGGAGAGTGGTTATTGTGCAGCTCCAGTGGATATACATCCACTCCTTAATTATTGACATCATTAGGCCCCATAAATGAATGTGAAAATGGAGGATGGCTACATCAGGTCACAAAATGAAGGCTGAATACACCGTTGCACAACTGGCATGTTAGGGCACTGCATTGCATCGCCCGCATAACTGACAAAACACTTTGAGACTCACGGCCCAATCAAGTTAACACATAACCTTAACCATCACAGCGGCTACTATTCTCGCCTCACACCGCGGCATTTATTATTGCCAGGTGTATATCATTAATGAACAAACTACTCAGTAGAGTTGTGATATTGTCATGAATGCAAAATGTTGTATGACAAGATAGGCAACATCTTCAGTCGATGTTCTTTAAATTGCCAAGTAAGGGAGCCATGCTTTGGGGAGCGTTCTGTTCCGTTACATGGATCAAGCAGAAACTGGTGAATTTAAATGCATTACTTTGGGTCCGTAGTCTTACAGCAGCACCAAGGGAATCCCATTCCAAATTACAAACATTAAAAATGAATTCAAAACCTCAAAGCAGTTGGCCTGTAAAATGTTTAAAAGAAGTCCAAATGTCATAACAAAGGTCAGAGTTGATTATAACAGCAGACCAAGGGAATGACGGCAACGTGATGACGTTCAATCACAGGGCCACCTCTAAATAGGGATTCTGATTGGGTAACATCATTCCACATGTGCCTAAACTGGCACCTGCCTTTGTTAGGGATGGGAGTAGGGTGATCCTAGGGCAGGACCGGCACGGAGGAGGCAATTTGCAAAGTTTCCCATTCGTTTCTCCTATGAACAATTTCCAAGAAGGTGACTCATTACATTTACTATCCAAGAGTAAAGAGACAAGGGATTGTGAAAAAGAGAACTGTGGATCTGCTTCCAGACTGTATTATCTGGCTTCTGTGTGGCCTGACATAGATCACACTATAATAATCCTTTCTGTAAAGTCCAATAGGTCTAAAGAGTAACATGAGCATTTCAAACAATTATATAAACTTTTCTTTAAAGGGGTATTTTTCTCAGAAAGGAAAGGTGGGGTAGATTGAGAGAAGTTCAGAATGGCCACATCTTGTTTCCTCCAGAACTCTATGAACACACACACA